TCCCTACAATTACAATGGCGCTAACCCAAACCTACACCCGGGAGGTAGGGGGCCCAGCCAGGGTTAATTCTGGAATGTCTGCAAAGCGCTCCCGAGTGCCTGGAGGAAGGGCAAAGGGGACCACAGAGCACAGAGCCGCGGGAGCCGGACCTGACGTTTCACCTCTGCATTTACCACCCTGGCCCTTACCCAGAAATCCAGGTTGTACTTGATGTTTTTGAAGAGGCCTCCCACCAAGGCGGCCAAGTGGATCACATGGGTGGGCCTGTGTTTCTCATACAGGGCTCTGGTCTCCGCAGCGTTCCTACAGGGGAGACGAAACCACCAACAGAGCCCTCAGGGGCAAAGTCCAGCCCCTATCTGGCCCCGTGACCCCAGGGTCTTGGCACCTCAGTCTGGGGTATTTATCCTCCCGACCCCTGGGAGCCAGGCAGTGCTGCTACCCCCGTATTACAGTGGGGAAACTGAGGCACGCCACCACTTCCTCAAGGTCACAGGGGGAGTTCAATTCTCTGCTCTGCCACACACCCGGATCTTTCAGCCCCCAGACTAGCAGCAGCATCTCTGGGCCGTCCGCGTGTGGGTTGGACCCAAGCTGTGGGCTGGCCTGCGATGAGATGCGAGCGCTTGGGGAGGGGCCTGATGCCAGCTCTTGACCCAACAAGCACCATTGATGCGCAATTAGCTAACTGACTGTAAAGCCGTGGCAAGGACACCCTGCGAGCCAAGCGGAGGGCAACAGCTGACTGGTGGCCCCTTTAACTCCCAGTCAGGGAACACCCAAAGGATAACGCTGGCTGCGAAAAGGCCCCTGCACACTGCTTAGCGTTTGCCTGCTGACAGGCCCATGAGCGAGGGTTGGGGTGCGGGGAGGGGGCGGAGGGGAGAGGAAAGTGCCAGGGTTGGGATGAAGGGGCACTGTGCAGAGGTATGGGGCAAAGGGGGCACAATTCAGGGCTAGTGGTAAAGTGAGCACAAGATGGGAGAGCAGGGTGAGGGAGCCCATGGGTACCAGGGGAAATGGGGGGTACTCTGCCCACAAGGGTCAGGGGCCCCAAAACACAAGTTCGCCCAGGGCACATCTACCCTAAGGCCGGCCCTGATCTACTCCAGCTGGGTCTCAGCAAGAGGGACTGTCTGACTCTCCCCAGGAAAGCGGGTGGGGCTCAGGTGAGTGGCACCCATGGGGGAACGTGATTGGACAGAGTGAAATGCAGGAGAGGGGCTGCCCTTTAGGTTCTCTTGGCTGGGACTGGCCAGGCTCCTTAACGGATACAACAGGCTGCACCTGGCCTGGCAGCTGCAAGATGGAAACAAGGTGTGGGCAGAAGCCAGCAAGTGGAAGGTTGGACAGCAGAGATCTCTCAGGCAGGCCTAAAGGACGGGTCTGCATAGCCGTTCAAGGGAGCAGCCTCTGGCCCTACAGCGCCCCTCACTCATCCCCCTTCCGTTCTCAAAGGCACAGGACCCCGGCCTCAGTGTCTGTGAGGATGACCCCGAATGCATTTGGATCTCCAGTGCGCTGCACAGGCACCACACCAGGGGCCCGGAAGAGCTCTCACATCCTGAGCACAGCTGCTCTCTGAGCAACCCCACCGCCACCTCCTTGCCACCTGTCGGACGACACCTCCAATTCGCTTTCATCCCATGACGCCGCAGATGGGAGGGGAGCCAGCGTCCCGGAGCAAAGCTGGAGCTAACACATGCAAGGCGGCATGGGCTCACTCCAGGGCTATACCAACCCCTCCAAAACCCAGTGTAAACCAGAGGTGAACGTTCACCGGAGCATTGTGAACAAGACACGAGAAGCGATTCTCCCCCTCTACTCTGCGCGGATTAGGCCTCAGCTGGAGTGTTGTGTCCAGTTCTTGGCACCGCATTTCAGGAAAGATGGGAAGAAATTGGGGAAGGTCCAAAGAAGAGCAACAAAAATGATGAAAGGCCATAATAGGAGCATTGCCAGCAGATCGAGGGAAGTGATTATTCCCCTTTATTCGGCACTGGGGACGCCACATCTGGAGTGCTGCAGCCAGTTTTGGGTCCCCACTACAGAAAGGATGTGGGGAAATTGGAAAGGGTCCCGTGGAAGGCAACCAAAATGATTGGGGGGCTGGAGCACATGACTTATCAGGACAGCCTGAGGGATTTGGGCTTGTTTAGTCTGCAGAAGAGAAGAGTGAGGGGGGATTTGGTAGCAGCCTTCAACTTCCTGCAGGGGGGGTCCAGAGAGGCTGGCGAGAGGCTGTTCTCAGTGGGGGCAGATGGCAGAACGAGAAGCAATGGGCTCAAGTTGCAGCGGGGGAGGTCTAGGTTGGAGATTAGGACAAACTATTTCCCTAGGTGAGTGAGGGGTTGAAATCTCCACCCCTAGAGGTGTTCAAGTCCCAGCTTGCCAGAGCCCTGGCTGGGATGATTGAGTCGGGGTGGGTCCTGCTCTGAGCAGGGGGTTGGATTAGGTGCCTTCTGACGTCTCTTCCAACCCTAGGATTCCACGAATCTCTGACAACCTGTGTATGGCAGGGCCAGCACAGATCCTAGGTGCGTGCTCAGCTTGCTAGCTCAGGCAGGCCAGCCCTGTCTGGCTTTTGCGGTGTAGACATATCTAGTTTAGGGGGGAGAAAGTAGGGGCTTGACAGTCTCAGCTCACGTCTGGCTTCAGCCACACAATTCTGCCAACCCACCTCCATCCTATCATACATCACTCTCTTGCTAGTCCAGCCCTGGCCTTCACGCAAAGCTCTGCCCCTCACCCGCTGCTTGCTCCATTCCTGGGCCTCCCTGCCGAGGGGCCTGCCTCAGTCTGGCACCACAGCAGAGTTCTGTAACAGGGCGTGGGACGAGGCCCGAACCCTCTGCTCCACGTGCCTCGTTTTCCCTGCTCTGCGGAGGGTATGAGCCCTGCTCCCCAGAGACTAGCGCGAGAGCCCTCTCCAGCAGGCCACCCCAACACGGACGGGGCATTTCACACAGTAACAAAGAGAAAAGCAGAGCCCAGGACTCACGTTAAGTCAGCATCCTTGGAGCACACGAAGATCCACTCTTCATCTGGCCTGCCCTCGCCATCAGCCACCACCTTTTCGATGGCTCTTCCCACCAGGCCCGTGCCACCGGTCACCAGGATGCGCTTTGGCTTCGATTCAGCCGGCTCCGTCATGGCGACAAGCTCTGCAGGGCGGGAGAGGAGGCCATTCATCCCAACTCCTCTCGGAGGCATGGCGCCAGGGTGCTGTGACAGCCCCTGCTGCCAGCCTGCCTGGCCCGGCAAAGCTGCACATGCCAGGGGCACGTGTGAGCTGGGCAGGGGCAGGGATCCTGGCAGGGTTAGCAAGCCTGACTTCCCACTTCCCCCATGTCAGCAAAGCCCCGCTTGGAAGGTGATGGGCAAACCAGGGTCCTGAACAGCAGGGATGTAAGTTTAACCAGGAGTTTAACCAGGAGCAGGGCCAACAGCCAGAGCCACATCCCAGATGTCGGGAGGGGAGAGCACACAGGGTCACGGGCATCAATTTTCTTCAACTGGGTCACAACAAAAAAAGTTTGAAAACCGCTGGCTTAGAGTATAAGCCGGCCCTGCTCCTGGGGAGCCGTCACCACTGCCGGCTCCGCAGTATAAGCCTTATACTGAAAAGCCTGCAGCACAGGCAGGCAGCCGGCTCCCCAGGAGATGCGAGGGCACCCCTCCACCATCCTTCCCTCCCAAGTCCCACCCAGCCAAAACCAGTGAACCATGTACCCGCTAGGATTTTAAACCATTGCGCCAATTAGTAGAGAAGAGATCTGGTGAATGTGTGCTCTCTCCGTCACTCCACTGCCATCCAGCGGCTGTTTGGGGAAATGGTTTTGCTAGGTCTCAGTATTACAAGACTCCCCACCCAAGAGGTGACCTATTTGATGACAGAGATGCAAAGCACCGAATAAGGAACTTCCACCTTCCCTCACACCAGCCAAGAGGCCACATGCAGCAGGAACTGCCCACACAGAAGCAAAAGTTTTAATCATTTTTCAAGGCATCTTTAACAAAAGCACTAGACTCAGAGGCTGCGTCTAGACTGGCAAGTTTTTCCGCAAAAGCAGATGCTACACTGGCCGCTTGAATTTGCGCAAGAACACTGACGATCTCACGCAAGATTGTCAGTGTTCTTGCGCAAATACTATGCTGCTCCCGTTCGGGAAAAAGCCCTCTTGAGCAAATGTATTTGCGCAAGAGGGCCAGTGTAGACAGCTAAAAACTGTTTTGAGCAAAAAAGCCCCGATGGCGAAAATGGCGATTGGGGCTTTCTTGCGCAAAACCGCATCTAGATTGGCATGGACCCTTTTCCACAAAAAGTGCTTTTGCACAAAAGCGTCCGTGCCAATCTAGACGCTCTTTTCCGCAAATGCTTTTAACGGAAAAACTTTTCCATTAAAAGCATTTGCGGAAAATCATGCCCGTCTAGACGTAGCCGGAGATCGTTCTATGGGAATTATAGACATCATCCACTCAGGAGGGCCAGCCTGAAAACATCTACCTACAACTGAAGCAGGTAGCTGCTGCAAACACTAGAGCACTGAAAGCATCTGGAGACTTTTTTCCAAAGTATTTCCCTTGTGCATTTAGCAGCACTTTGCAAGAGGCTGTTTACCTTACCAGCAGCAAAGGCAGGAAGCAGGTGTGTGCAGAGGAAACAAGGCTAAGGTGGTATTAGCCCCACACCATTTCCAAAGACCCATATGAATGTTATCTGAGATGCAGAAAAACGCTTGCAATTTAATGGAGCAACTACAAAATATGTTATACCTGCTAGTTAAAGCGTGTTTTCTAAGATTTTAAAAAGTAGTTAAAAAAGCCACCTTATCAGTGACCCTTAGATTTCTTTGCTCCTGCAGAGTCCTCAATGCAAAAATGAAAGCGATCCTCGACAATTTCTCTATTCAAGCTGCATGAAGGGACAGAAATAAATCAGGTACTGGATCTCTAATTAATTAATTAATTACTCACTGCTCGCCCCTTCCCCAGCACTCCCATTTCAAGAATTCTCACATACATTGCAAATGTGAAAAAAACTAAGCATCCCCAGGTAGATGAATATAGTTATGCAGGAGTCAGCAATTGACAAGTTATTTTTCTTAATGTTCAGTCTTTCAAGAACTGTTGCTCTGTTGTTGGCTTTGGGATGGTGTCTCTATTTGGAGACGCTGTTGCAAACAGCAAGAGTGTTTGTTCTCTGCCTTCGTCGGTCAGAGCCATTTCTTGGGGGCACAGTTGCTTTCTGGAAACTGGGCACAAGTGTCGGAGCTGAGATTTCTGGAGGAGCTGAGGGACTGCGTGCCATTTACGACCACCTCTGTTTTAGGACTGGAGCACAGAGCGCAAACAAGTTACAAACATACGGAGGCCAGGTCGGCACTACAAACGTACAGCGCTCCGGGGATGGATGTGCATGGAGAGATGCAGTTACACTGACCTAAACTCGGTTAGGAACAATGCTACATTAATGTGCAGGCTTTTCCCCTCAACACAGCCATGGCCTCTCATGGAGGTGAATTAACCATACTGACACAGAAGCCTAGCAGTGTCTTCACTGAAGAGCCACAGCGACACACGAGGCTGTATTTTTAGTGTAGACCGGCCCTCAGACCTGTCCACGACACTGATTTCTCCTCCACTGGAGGCTGGCGATCAAGGCCCAGGGGCGGATGAGAGTTTTTCGGGGCCCAGAGCAGCACAATATTGCGGGGCCCCCCCCCTTTGGAGAAAAAACAGAAAAAAGGGTCCCCTCCGTGCCCACTCCTCCAGTAGCCCCACACTGATCATGTGAGCTACCCCCTCCTCTTCCTCTCTCCTAACACCTCCCTCTATACACCTGCCCTGCCTCTCTCCTCTGGTGCTGGTCCCTCCCCTGCAGGTGTCTGCCCTTCTGCTTCACCCCCAGAATCTCCTGGCACCTGCACCTTCCCTTACCCCTGCACCCTCCTGGTGCCTCCCCTTCCCTTACTGCCCCTGCCCCTTTTGCCCTCTTTCTCCCTGAAGCCCACCCCCTCACCACCCTCTGCCCCCATTCCCCTCATGCCCCTGTGCCCTCACACATGCCTTGCTCCATCCCCGCCTTCCTCACACCCACCCCTCCTTTCAAGCCTTCTCCCAGCACCTCTCCCTCCCCCCTTTAGCTCCCAGTGCCCTTCCTACCCCTTCTTTCAAGCCTTCTCCCAGCACCTCCCTCTCCCCCCCAACACTCAATGCCCTTACCCTCTCCTCTCCTAGCATCACCCTGTCCCCCATCCCACTGACACCTCCCCTCCTGCCCTTTTCCTCATTGTGTCCACTTGGCCCCCTGGCATTTGTCTCACCTCCTCTTTCTTCTCCTGACCTGCCCTCCTCCCCTCCCCTCAGCACAAGCCCCTTCCTCTGCCATCCACCTTCTGCCTTCCAGTGTGCAGGGTGGCCGTGGCCCCGGCCCAGGCCATGTGCCGAACCATGTGGTGCAACTCTGGGCTGCGTGGTTTTAAAGTCCTGGGCCGTGGCATCACACCATGCCACGCCACGCCGTCTCCCCTCTCAGCTGTTGTGCGTTGTTTCAGCACGCCGCGCATGCGCTCCCTCGGCCCCACGTGACCCGTAGTGGGGAATTTCAAAAGTGCAGGGCTGCGGAGCCCTGCCACAATCTCCCCCCCTTCTTCCCCAGCAGCCGCCGGCCGGCCCTTCGGCGGATGGCCCACCGGGAAATTCCTGGTATCCCGCCAGGCCAGTCTGCCCCAGGCGCTGGCACGGGGCCTATTGAAGCATGGGGCCTGGGGCAGCCGCCCCGCTCGCCCTGCCCTATATCCACCGCTGTCAAGGCCCACCAGCTGCCACCATTGAGCGGGCAGGCAACAGCGTTAGGACCCCCATTTTATGGCTGGGGAAGCCTAGACAGAAGCGCAGCGATTTTGCCGAGGACACAGGCGAGTCAATGACCAGGATGATAACCGGACCCTTGATGACCTCAGTGGATTTAGTGCCGCTCACACCTGCAAGCATTGATTGACAGGTGTGTGGGTTTTGCCCCTCCCCTGCTTCCATGGCATGACTGTCATGCGGAAATCCACCACCAAACCCCCATCTCCCCAGGGGAGAAGATGAGGCCCCGCGTCCTCGTTAAATGCTGGCAGCTTTTGGGGATCAGGAAGAGTCTGGAAGTAGCTCCCCTCTGCACTGGGGCAGGGAAATGCAGCAGCAGCCCCACAGATGCCCTGAGGACCCTGGTCTGCTTTATGTGACACCAATGGCCCCTCGGGGCAAGGCGACCTCGCCCCATCTACTGGGCCCCGTGCAGAGACATCTCACTGCTCCCTGGCTGGGCTC